TTACGATTACTCCGTTCCCAATACTTTAGGCAGCCAGTACGGTAAGTCTATTTGATATTAATATTTAAATCGGATAGTAATTTTCCACCCGTCCGGATTCCGTCCCGGTACTCCCGAGCGAGCGGCCAAATGGCCGAGCGGTCGAGGTGGCAGCCTACCGCTCTGGGAGACCCGGGTTCGAATCCGTAGGGGTCGAAGAATCCCCAGGAATTTTTCGGGGGTGGTCCGTTCGGATATGTCGGGCCCCGTCCCTCACCTCCCGGCTGCCCCATTGTGGGCCTGGCCGAACCCATAATGGGCTGGCAAAAAGAGGCCCTCTTAGTGCCCGCAGGGCGGAAAGAATTAAAAAGAAAGGTACTCTGTAGCGGTAGGCCGCCACCTCCGCCGCTCGGCCGTCCGGCTTTCGGGGAATTCGATCGAACGCGTTAGGCTAGAAGATGGGGTAAAGAAAACGATTGGGAGTTTCCGGGTCGCCGCTGCCCGGACTTTATCTTTACATTTGGCCCCGTATCGTAACCGGGGAGCGGCGCGCGTCCGAAAACCGACCGAAATAAAAACCGATAATTGTTATCACTTTCGGCAGACGATTTGACCATCGGCGGTATCGGCCAGTCACTTCCCCTCCTAAAACTATAATCTTAACTTTATCCTTAAATTTTCAAATTTGTTATAATTACTTAAAAAGGAAAAATCCCGTACGCGTTGGCCTACTCGGTTCGGCAGTTCGGTGGTCGCTAGCCTAAAGTGTTCGTAATCGCGCCCTCTTTCGCTAAATGACGGAAAGACTGTTTCCGCCTCTTCCGCCCGCGTCCATAGGGCGGAGGAACGGTTGCCCCCAGTTGCAAAATTACTTTTAAAGGCCATTTTGGAAAATTACTTAGTGGATGAAATACGGAGCGGGCCGACCGGGTGTCGTCACCCGTTTTGCATCTTTCGAATGACGAATCGACGATTTTATTCTTTTCCGCCCGTCCCACGCCCGGAATTTTCTTCTCTCGCGTATCGGGAAAGGGGCTAACCCCTACTTTATTCCCGTGCCGAAATTATGCATTATCTACGCGTTTAACGACGCCGGTAAGATATTACGAGACGTAACGAGCTATTATTATTAATGAACCGAACAATACACCTGCGAGATAATCGAAAATTTACAATAAATACAAAACTATAATTAGACGCGGGTTTTGTGTCTGTACGGCCGTCTACGTACGTACGTGGGTGAATTCGTACAATTCTGCACTATTATTCGTACAATATTCTACGCGTACGAACCTCACCTACAGATATATTTTCGTCAAATAGTTTACTGCGGAATATACGGCCAATCGCTAGTAGTGTCTCGGTCCGACCGGTCCGAAGATGTTTTCCAGTCGTACGGTGGTTTCTCGCGTAAATCCAATACGGGTAACCCCCGTATAACACGGTAGTTACGTTCCAAAAAATTGCCGTGTTATGCGAATCCGTGTTATACGAAACAAAGAACTAATACGAAAAGGAGAATTAGGTTCCAAAAATTAAAAAACATGCTAGTATATTTTCATAATTAAGATAAATATCTCCATTAAAATTTTTTAAGTGATACATATTAATATAAATTAAAGAACGTTTTCTTCGTCATCACTAAAAACACTATTAATTAACCGAGAGCGTTTTCTTTTTGGCAAGTTATCCTTATCCTCCGAGCATTTTTCTGCATTATCTTCAGATCCACGCTTTACCTTTTGCAAAATGTATGTAATTTTAGATCGCTTACTTCTAGTTAAAAGGTCTTTATAAATTTCCTTATATGGTGCTAAGCACTTATGAAGAACTAGTAGCCCGGGACGCCCCCTACTGGGCGTTCCAGCAGCATTACAAATTCCTGAGGCATGTTTAATGCACTTAATATATGAAAGTTGTGTGCACTTAATGTTTAAAAGTTTGATGCAGTTAATATATATAAATGTATACAATTCTTCATCTTAGAAACTAAACTTAAAATATCAATACACAAACAGCAAACAGTATTTGTACGTGAGAAAGTGAATCTATTCTTTACTCAAAATTGTTCAAATAAATAGAATTAATATGATTAAAAAATCAAGTATAAATATATACAAATGTTCATGTTAAAAAGTAATGTTAACAGAGCAATACACAGCAAATAGTATTTCTGTATTACAGACTGAAGATATTCTTTAGCTGTGTTCTGTATTCCATCATTTATCCCATCATAAAACTTCTGTATACACAACATTGTTGGTAAAAAAAAGTATAATTATTTGGAATCAATTTGCCTTGTTGTGACATTTTGTCTTCTGTGTCGTTTTGCTTCTGCCTGCCTGTGCAACATTGCAGATCTGAGCTCATGAGTTTCATTCTGCAAGCCTCCACGTGTTGATTGTGCTATTCTCTGTAATGTTTCCTGCGCACGTCTCTCCCTTTGTCTCGCAGCAGTGGCAGCTTTACGTTCCCCCACAGTGGCGTATTTCTTTGGTCGTGCCATGAAAGGTTTCTATTATTATATTAAAATATTAGCTTAACTATTTCACTTATCGTTTTATCGTAGCGGTTCAAATCTATCCGGTTTTTCGTTATTCGCCCCCTAATGAACATTACAGGCATTCCGTGACAATAATAAATTCCTATTACAAATATACTGAATTATTTATATTGTTATATTGACCAAATAATAATTTATATTGTTAATTTAAATAATAATTAAAATTGTTAATTTAATTTGAATGTTTGAAATAGTTCATCGGAGAAAAGGTGACCAGCCAGAATCTCCATATTAGAGAAGAAAGAAAGAAAGAAATGTTTGAAATATGACACACGATAGGGGCGCCTCTAGTGTCGGTTATCAAACGGTTACGGGACGGACGGACGGAAGGAAGGACGGACACCTGTCGAATGGGTTATATATATAGATAGATAGGTTATGAGTCACGTAATTGTAAAACGAGAACTCTACGACGGAAAAGTGACGAATCGAAAGTATCGTGAGCGCGTATTACGATGTACGCGTAGGCATACGTGGAATAGAGCGGTAGAGGAAAGAGAAAGGGAAGAGCGAAGACGAGCGCTTAAAAAAGGATAGGCAGGGTCGGACCCTCGGATGTGCGAGGATTCTCCAACGATAGGCGTGTAGGTGTGCTGATCTTTGTAATTATAAATTGTGAATACGTGTGACTACTGTTATTTTCTTTTTTATTTTGCGCACGTTACAAGTTATAAATAAATATAAACAAACAACACTAACCCGATAACATTAAATCTAAATACCAAAATGATTAATTTACTGTGTTTTTGTTATTTCTTAATCCTGTTTTTAGGTATTCGGCCGAATAGCGAATAGTAACCGAATATTCGTTACATCACTAATATTCACCCATCAAATACTTTTTCTGATCAAAATATCATCCGCATCCCGGATAATTAAATCGCAGTTCTACTTACATTCCGATACACGAAATAAAATATCGGCAACGGAGCCGTTTCGCCAAAGGGCGGTTATTTTTTTTCTTTCGGCCTTTCCCTCTGGCGGGCACTAAGAGGACGTTTTTTATCCACCCGCGGCCGGTAGGGCCGGGCCCACCGGGGCGGAGTCCGACCTCTCCGGACGGACCGTCCTCCAAAACCGGGCGGGATTTTTTATCTTTCCCGGGACCCCGGCCACTTTAAACGGCGAGCCGTCCGGCCGGGATACGAATGGCTACCGTAATGGTTATTTTATATTCGGGTGTCCGACGAACGGAGCGGCCACCGTTCGGATAGAAAACGATAGACGACTGGCGTAATTATTTAAAAGCGTCGAAAGCGTTGCCAGCCATTAAAGCGGGTTTAAATCCCGCTACGTCGGAGGGTCGACTTAACGTTACCGCCGAAACCGGACGCCCGGAACTAAAATAGCCCAAATAACGTCCGTGCCGTCGGAAAGCGAAAAAGGCTAAATCCGCCGAGGTGCGGAATAATAGTTTACGCCGAGCGATAAAGATCGGTAGGGGCGTAATCGCGCTCCACCCGCTTTTTATTACTAAAAGTATCGGTTTTTGGCGTAAACGATTATCGGAAAATCCAGACGGAACAAATTTATCGTCGATAGATTTCTCGGCAACGGCGGTCGGCCGAGTTGGCCGTTAACGATTTTATCGTCTTAAATTACGTAATAGTAATAATTATCGTACGTGTAAAAACGATAAGTCGGTAAACGAAACTTTTTCCTTTTTTCCCGCCGCCGTCTGGCAACACCGACTCGAGCCGTCCGTCGCCGTCTTCGCGCGTTTTTACTCGTCCGGGATCTTCGTTTAACGTCGGGGTTTCCGATAATTCGGCATGGATCCCGAGTCGACGGAGGCCTCCGTCCTGCTGGCCGAGGAGAGGAGGCGAAGCGAAAGCCACAAACGCCACTACGGCATCCTGAAGACGGAATATGTCAGGTGCGTTCAAAAATCTCGCTCCCTCCTTCGATTGTCAATAAATTACCGGTTTTCCGTTAGGGCGCGACGCCAGCGAGATTTTCTTTTGCCAGAACTATATCGTCCTTACTTTTCTCGGCCGCTTAGCGGATTTCGAGATCCCGCCGTGGGACCGGAGGAAGGAGCCTTACGCAAATAATTTCTCCAGGTGGCGTCGTCGATCGGACGGACTTTACCTGGCAACATTTCGATATGGCGACTCCTCGACTTCTTTCGCCTTTTAATTCCGACGTAAAAAGTTGATTAATTCGGCGTCCGGCCCTTTTACTTCCTCCGCCAACGACCGCCGGGCTAAGACAGGGTAAAAAGAACGAATTACGAAAGGAAATCGACGCCGCTGGGTTACGTTTTAATAGCGTTTCTATCCATAAAAATATTTCCGGAAACGTATGGGTACGTTCGTAAAGTCGAACGAGTTAAACGCGTTAGTAACGAATCGTTCGAATAGTAGTAGTCTCGCTCAGTGCGCATGCTCTGCGGTGATGACGTTTCGAACGAAACTCTAACGAAGTTCACGGAGGAAAGAGTTAGTTTACTTTAAGAAAATGGCGCCCGACGATAGCGGTGTTTCTAAATCTACTCGAGTATTTAAATTGTGAATTAAAACATGTCCACCCGAAGCAATCTAAGAAAAATATTTCGGATAAGGCTGTACTAGCAACATTCGTATCTTCGATTTTACAAACAGCCGTTTAGTTCTAAACGAATCGTTCGAAAAGTCTAACGAAACGAGAATAACGATGACGTCATTCTCGTTTAACTCGTTCGACTTTACGAACGTGCCCTATATTTATATATATTTACCGCGTCCCGGCCCCACGCGGCGAAAGAAAAAGTATTTTCTGTCCCGACCGTGGCGAAAATAAGTTTTAAGGTTTTTTTTTTACTCTCGAGTCGGGGTGGTCGGAAAAGGCGGAGATTGGCAAAAAAAAAAAACTCGGAGATCAAATTTGACGCGGTTCCCGCGTTTTCCCGGTTACGTATTCGTAAACGTATTCTTAATCGTACCCGCGGCCGTTCCCGGCGCCGCAATGGGAGAGTGTTTGGAGCCAACGAACTTTGGCGTAATAAACGTTGCGTCGCCCTCCGCGAAAATGTCCGAGAACGGTGACGAAACCGTAAGTCTCGCCGATCGAAATCGTTCCGTGTCTTTTAAAACCGTTTTCGAACCGGTCCGAGTTTACTTTCGTCTTCCCGCATGTAATTCCGCCGTCCGCGGACCGGTGGAAAAAATCCGATTAAAAATCGAAACCGGCATCTATAGTAAAGCTTAATTTAAAATGTTACGTACGCGTTTAAATTTTATAAAGGTTTTAGTTTTAACGAAACAAAGGCCACCTAATGTTTACCGTAAAACCGTCCGATTTGTCCTTTATTTTCTCCGAAAGATACCGCGGCCGTAGTTATACCTCTGTTATTAATTGGTATTAGTTAGCTCCGACCGGGAATGGACCGAGTTACAAACCGAGTGGAATCTATAAACGTTTATTTTTCACCTACCGCGACAAATTTTGGGAACTGGTTTAGTTAAATAATAACGTCCTCGACGCGTAATTTAACCGTAAACCGCTATCCACCGGTTTCTTTACGTCGTCCTTCGAGTATTAAGTAAAAAAAAAACCCGAATACCGAGCAAAATGTATTTAAAATTAAGTAAACTCCGATAAATAATCCCGTACGTTAAATGTAACGAATGGCGCGAAATTAAAACGAGTAAATACGAAATGGGATTTAAGATAATTATATCGCGCACCGCGTGTAAAAATTTAAAAGTTGTCGATGGAATAATTATACCGTAGCGATAAACGTTTATTTTTGTATTTTACTGGTTTGTTTGTTACATCTGGAAGCGCTTCGGAATGTAAAGTTGCGGTTACTCGTTTGCCGGAAGAGACCGAATGGCTTTCTTCTTTATTCTAATAAATTTAATACGTCTTTCTCATTAAACAACACTCGTTTCTTCTAAGCAATAATAAAAAATAATACACGTTTATCGACGATAAAAGGAAACGTGCGAAATAAAGGTTTCGATACATTTTAAAAATTTTATTAAATTACGTAAAAATGGTGATAAGATGAATTATCGACTTCTCCCAGTAAAAACAAACGTAAAATAATAAAAAGTCGCCGGTTTCGACGATAATGTTTACGGCTCGGTAATAAAAACCTAAAACGATAAACGACCGTACGATTTGTCTAGCAATTATTTTTTTCCAAAATTCGTGTTTAATACGGTTTCGATGGGCGTCCTTCTATATTTTTACTCGAAATCGTTCGAATTAAGAACGACAGAAATCTGATTTGATAATTTAAAACAATATTTCTCGCGACATTAATTATTCTACTCGTCGAACAAACTTTTTTCTTTGTTATTTCTTCGACCGAACCTTGCGGCGTGTCGTCGTCTCGTTAGCAGTTTTTTTAGAAAGATCGTCTTAGTCGGCGCCATTACTTCTATATTCTTATATTTAAATTTCCGAAATTTCGCGAGAAAGTTTGCTTATAAGGGAGATCGATGCTATTAAATTTTGGTGGTTAAGGGTCGAGGGGCTGGAGAGATAACGGGGGTCGAGTGTATTCCCGCTTAATGACGATTTTACCGGCTATTAGCATTTGCAATTTTTTTATAAAACCCGTTCCTACTCTCAAAATTCGGCTTTAAAAATATAAAATATGTTTTTAATTTAATAAATTATAATAACGGATGGCACCACCAAAATTTTAAATGTTGCCGGGAAAGTCGAGCGACTCGTCGCCGATTTATTTTTCTTCGGTTTTATTATTTGCCATGCATGGGTATAATTCCCCAAATTCTAAGCTCCTAATTTTATCGACTTCTGTTTTAATACGGCAGTCTTTGGTAACTGTTTACAAGTGTGTACTAAATAAAGTTATTCTATCGAGGATTGCTACGCCGTTGACGTCCGGCTAAGTTTCGTATATGTTCGCGTATAAAATTGATACAAATTTTTATTATATAAATTATATAAAGTAATCTTTATAAAATTCGGTCGGAGTTGCTTTTAAGGAAACTCCCTAATTCTTGTTTGTTTGCCGTTTGTCTCGAGTGTCGACTCGCTCCTAAAATGTTTGCGCCACGTCTCGTTAAGTTTGGGTACGGAATGTACCGATTCGAAATACAACGATGGTTTACTGGTTAATATTGACTCCTAATTCGATGACCAAAAACACCACGAAACAAACGCTCGCTTGAAAAGCCAACGTTTTCCTTCGTTTATAAAGAAAATTGTCGGGCCGGAGTGAAAGATGGAACTGCACGATTTTTGAATGGTTCGGAACTTCTGTGCTGCCGCTGCCGATTGGAAGATAAGCCATCGCATCTACGTCGTATATATAATCCGGTAGGAATTAATAACGTAAATCTTGCAATTCCTACAGGATTATATATACGTGTTCGTCTATCGGCAGTGGCGACGTGGAAGTTTCAAACCGTCCGGAAATCGTGGGATTCCGTATTAGAACTCCAGCCTGATGATTTCCTTTACAAACGGATGAAAACATTTGCTTTTCGAGCCAGTGGTTTTTTTTTAAGTTAGGAGTTTTATTAATATACTGATTTTGATTAGTTGATTTATATTGCCTCTAATTTTCCTCGGCTGCAATATAGCCTATGATTTTGTGGATCGTAAAACAAAAACTGCACGCCTATAAACTGGAACTGTATTACTCAAAGAAATAACATCTAAACACAATTTTTCGGCCGCAATTCATTGGCTCTCGTTGGGAACAAATACAAAAAATCAATTGAATATTGTTGCGTTCTAATTTTTTAAAACTTTCAAAAACATGTTCGAATGAGACCGTGATGCGGAGTTTACGTCATAAATAAAATGAGCAATTTTTTTACAATGTATAATGTTAAAAATGAAATTATTAATAAAATTAAATTTTATGGCAGTCTAAATAATATTTCCAGGCTTGTGTTACTGGAATGTAGTCTGTGTTGATGCGATTTATGTTCTTGTCGGCTCTGTAAATCTCTAAGGCCTCCGTCGATCTCGTGTCCTGTCGGTCGGAGACCCCGCGCACGAGGGTGGTCTCGTCCCGACGGGGAGAAACCCCCGGTTCGGTGGCGTAACGGGCCCGAGCGGTATTAACGTTTTCCTTTGTTACGTCGTATCCGTGTTTGCGTAACCTGGCTCGAAGAGGTCCGTATTTGGATCCGATGTATATCTTCTAACTGTCGTAAGACGAGTTCGCAAAGATTCCCAAAATGTAGGTGCGCGAGCTCCAATATCTGGGAATGGAAAGTCTGAGCATTAGGGGTAGTGCTGAGAAAAAGTTCTTAAAGCGCAAAAACATGGCTCTAAACGAATGAAGGGAAACGTGAATACAAAATCAAACATTTCCATTTAAATTAATATTCAAAAGTTTGGAGAGAAGTGCGCGAATTGGAGACCGCACGGTTTCCAATTCGCACACTTCTAACCACCAGCTTAATACATATACCTATACAGGTATATGTGCTAAGCTGATGGTTTACGAGTGATGGATCCATTTTTCTAATAAGAATGTTGGGGATCTGGGTTTATTGATTGTGCGGCATAATTGTCTATCGGGTTTGTGTGTTTTAGCAAAAGCAAAAAGACTGGGATTTTGGGGGAGCTAACTGTTGTATGCCGAAGGTCTAATGCCTCTGCTAGACCAGTGTGTGTAAACTTACCAAAATGACTTTGTAGTTTCGTTATATAAGAGGCGTCAGAGAGCTGACATTGTGTGTCTACTGTATATTGTTGTAATAGATCGACATAAGTGGCCCTATTTGTGATTACAATTGCTTTGCTTTTATCAGCCTTCACCAATGTGATGTCGTTGGATCTGAGCCAACTTTTACTGAACTTGGATGTGATGTAGTTTCAGAATTTATAAACTTCAGACTCCAGTATGTGTTCTTCAATTGCAAATAGGAGAAAACACAGCATTTCAAACACTAAAGACAGTACAGATGATGCAAGAGCATCAGGCTTTTACCATATCCCATTACAAGATGGATGGTTTAACAGGAGACTGATGTTTGTTTTTCAAGGATTGGTTATTGTAGTTTCACGGTATTGAATTTGCTTCTTTTAAAGGTACTTATTATTGATTTTTATTTGTTAAAGTTATTGTACTTGTTTTTTTGTTTTCAAAGAATTAATACATTGTCCATGTATTGAATATGATTATAATGTCATAATAGGCTAAGTAAACACTGTCAGATGGCATTAAAATTTTTTATAAAAACTCCAAGAAAATTGGTTCTCTAATCTTGGAATTGTGTTTAGTCATCATCTCATCCTTGGAAGCTAAAGCTGCCATCAACAGAACCGTTTGTTTGTTATCTTTACACACTGCTTCAAATTAGATGTGACTTTGTACCCTCTGTTCCTTGCTTTGATACAGTCATGCTTGCTAATGCCCTCCTCTTCAAAAAAGGCTTTGCCGTAAAACATATTCAGATATATGGTAGACACTCTCGTCCATCATTGAGCACGATTACTTTTACTTTAATGGTACTTACAAAAGTAAGGGGTCCCAATGGGCTCCCTCTATCTGCTGTTTTGGCAGAATTAATTATAAGAGATGCGAAGTTTAAAGTATTTACTTTACTTTTCCACTCACTATCTGCACCTGCTTCTATGTTTGTATTATGTAGCTGACATCCTTGTTGCATGGGAGGGTATAAACCAGGAGCTTACACACTTTGTACACCATTTATCTGCCATCTATTTCTTAATTTCCTTCTTGACAGAAGAGGAGATGGATTCAAAAATATCATTTTAAGATCTGCACATACATAGGTTCTTTGTGGAGCTTTTTTATTTACAAGCTCCACAATTATTATACTGCAAGTTTAATGATATTCTTCATTCTATTTTGGCAGCATATTTTCAGCCTTCATGTTTCATCAACTTAGTCATTTCCATTCACATTAGAAGAGCCTTTTTACTTCCATCAACATACAAGTTTGTTGAACTCAAGTTACGTGACATTTTTGTGGCCGTACAATAGGCAGGGTATTCATCTGCTAAGTTTTACTATGTTCTTATCAGGATTAAAAGTTTACTATTCTGGCCCACTACCCTACATTCTAAAAAACAGTTGATATGGGTGCAGTCACCAATTTCATATCTTTGTCCCCTTTCCATATGCATTTGTCGCATCTTCAAAAAACACGACCTTCTCCTGCCTCTCTCCTCAAAGCCAACTTTATGCAGGCTTCTCTGTAATGATAGTAACAGGCTCTCCCTTCTTGAGAAATCTGGTGTTTATGCTGTATCTCTTTTTCACTTGATAATGGGAGAAAACACATGGTATGTCAATACAGTGGCCATAATGCTGGTAAGTTCATTTAGCAGAGCATCAACAAAATATTTCCAAAATGTAGATGCTCCACAGAGCTGACCAAAGAAGTCAGAGTCCAATTTCAACCCTTTGTGGACTCAAACCACCCTCTTCAAGTGTTGTGCCTATTGTGGGGTATTATTTACTTGGGAAGCCAAAGCTCCTCCATGCAATACACCCATGCTTGAGCTTCCTAACTTGTGAATCACACTTTTTAAACTTTTCAATCATGAAGCCATACTACCCTAGTCGTCTGTATTATAATGCTTCACGGACTTGCAGCATAAAAATGTTTTGATGGTTCCATTGTCCTTTTGTTTCAAATTTTTGTTTTTGTACTCCATTGTGAATTTTAAATGTTTAAATGTTGAGAATTTTATACTGTAGTGATGTTCCATTCCAAATTTGAGATTATCATTAGTTTGATGTTGATTTTGTATCATTGAAAGTACTTGCAGTATAAAAAGGATTTATAATTCAATTACTAAACTGACAATGTTTACTTTGTCTATTATTATATTATGTTTGGCATGGAGTTTAACATACTGTATGATTATAATGTCATTTTCTAGATTATAGGTGTCTCAATAAAATTTGGGCAGAGTTTCACAAATTTGCCTGCTACAGACAACTCTATTGATGTATTTCTTGGTTTGTTTGTAAATACAGACTTCAAATTTAAAATATTAATAGTAGACAATAGTATAAATGAAGGTTTGTATTAATTTCAAGTGATCATCTGGATCGTATAAGGCTATATTATGGCTACATTATACCAATCAGATTGATATTAATCAAGAATTGGGTTATTCAATGTTTATACTTGAGGCTAATATTATTTTGCCCTGGTTCTTAAGAACTTTGTATGATAGATTTAATGTGAAGCTATATATTGATTTGTTTTTTTTTTTTCTTCCTATTTTGTCTGTTTTAGTTTGTTTATGGTTATCTTTTTTTATATTTTAACAAATGAGAAAGATTTATAAACTTAAAATTTATAATTTAAAATTGTAGGTTAAAAGTTGTTCTAATTGTTCTTTCAGTACATAAAATCAAATGCTTTAATATTTCAAGTTCCAGATGTTTGGAAATTTGAATGTTGGTTATTGTTTTGATAGTTTCATTGTGCCTTTTGTTTCAAATTTTTATGTTTTTGTACTCCACTGTGAATTTTGGAAGTTGTATGTTAAGATGAGTGGAATAGATTCAAAAATGTTTAATGCTATAAATAAAAATTACTTCTTTATCATAATAGCATTTGAGATGTTATAACATAACATGGTGTTTTAGCTTGAAGATGACATATTTGTTCTATAACTAAAAAGTTCTGCTAAGATGAAAATAAAACAAAATTGCTTTAATAGAGGAAAACAACTAAGAACACAAAGTCCAAGTTTTTTGAAACATTTATTGTCAGACACGCTCGTGCATAAAATGTACATACGGACCAATACGTCATGTTACAAGAAAGAATGCTTAATTAAAGAAAAATTTTAAATAAACTTAAAATAAAAACATGATAATGCCTGCTACAATTTCTACATGACATAAAATTATTTGCAAGCCATTTCTAAGGCTTGGCTAATGAGTCTGAATCTCTGTAGATAATATTAGGTTGTTTGGAAAGTAATTTCGTTTTTTTACCACTAGACAGATTAGTTGTATTTTTCCCTCCATTTTCATTCTAAACCATATTATCATTATATATTTTGACAGCTAGCATTTTAAGGCTTATTTGTAAAAAATTTTGTTTGATTCTGTGCAATTGTTTATTTTTTGCATCCCATCAAATATGGAAGATTGAAAGCAGCATTTTTGGCAAATCAAAATGCTGTTCAAGCGAGAAAAAAATTGTGGTACATGTATGGAGATGATGTGTTGAGAGAAAGACAGTGCCAAAACTGGTTTACAAAATTTCGTTCTGGCAATTTCAATATTGAAGATGCACCACATTCTGGATGGCCAGTTGAAGCCAACGAAAAGAAAATGAAAGTACCGATTGAAGCAAACTGCTGAATAACAACACGTGAAAAATTGTCAAATTGAACCGTTTATGATTACTTGAAACAAATTGGTTTTGTTTCAAAGCTTGATATATGGGTTTCAAATGTTCTTAGAGAGATTGGTGGGATTTTAAGGAAATTTTTTCTTTTGGAGCTTTTACCAGACAATTTAACAATTGATTCGAAAGTGTACTGCCATCAAGTAAACAAATTGAGTAATATCATCAAACAGAAAAGCCGGCCAGAATTGATCAACAAAACAGGTATAGTGTTTTACCACGATAATGTCAAATTTCACACAAGTTTGGTAACTCGTCAGAAACTGTTATAACTTAGATGGGACGTGCCGTCGCACTGACCATATTCGCCAGATCGAGCATGCTCGGATTATTACTTGTTCCGGTCTATACAAATTTTTTTTTAACTGTAAAACATTTACTTGAAATGACAATGTCAAAGATCACTTGGATCGGTTTTTTGTAAGCAACGATCAAAACTTTTATGAATGTGAAATCATGCTACTACCAGAAACGATGACAACAAGTATTTGACCAAAATGATCAATATATAATTCAATAAAATATTTATTTATTATAAAAATATTGTTTTTTTTTCCATGGAGAAAAAACAAAATTACTTTCCGAACAACCCAATAGCATTGTTTTTTAAACTTTTTTTGATAAATCTGTATTACTTTTGCTGTGTTGTGGTTCTTTGCTTTTAAGACTTCTGGCAACTTTACATGTTTCCATGAGACACTTAACTTCTCTGAAGCAAAGCATCCAATATAGAAACTATCTCAAAAAAATTATTATTTCAGTAACCCAATAGTGCTGTTTTTTCCCTTTCTTATCAGAACAACTTCTGTATGTTATAATTCTCTTTTTATTCCTAAGTACCTTTAAGAAAATGCATTTCGGACTCATACCGTCCCTCTTCAGTTCTTATATAGTCGTTACGTATTAAAATTTGGTGCACAAACCAAATTATTAAATACACATTTGACTTTCAAATCTTCAAACACATTATTAAAATCAACAAGACATATACATACCATAAGATAAGCACACATTTAAAGTATAAACAAAACACAAAATGAAGAACTTTTATCTCACTTTTACAGGATACTTAAGCATTATTCTTGTTGAATAATGTTTAAGTTGACAGATTTGCACCATATTTTGCATAGTTACTCTGTTACCCTGTAGGGAGACATATGCTATCCTATAAGGAGGATGATTCAACCCCTCCCCGAGTTCCCGGATAATGCTGGGCATTCTTTGCTAGTAGTTTATAAACAACAATTGGGAGTAATAATGGATTTTCCATTAGCCAGCGTTTTGACAGAAATCAGTGAGAATAGCAGAGGAAACCACTCTCAAAGGCTTTAAAAACCCTATCAGGAGACACAAACAATAAGTTAAATAACATTTTGATAGTTTGGATAGGAGAGAGAGTCAAAATCTTAAACTTGTTTTTGAAACTTAAATTAGAACAATATAGACAATATTCGGTTGATTTCTTTTATACATTAATGTCAAAGTCATGATGGTTAGACAATTTCCACTTATAGAATTCCTCAGAAGCTACAAAAGCTTTATTTATAGTGACATTTCCTTTGAAGGAATGTATACTGTCTGAAAGTCAAATATCAGGAAGTCAAGCACATTGCCTGTATTTTATACCTTGTTGTTTTAATGATTTTGTAAATTATACATTTTTTTGTATTAATAGTTGGGTATTCATTATGATTTAATTATTTAATTTATTTCTTTAACAGTAGCTAGTAATTTTGTAAATTATAATGGATTACAATGTATTTAATGGAATATTTTTATACATTTCAAAATTATATTATGTGTATAATATATTTTTAAATATCTACATCAAAATAACACTGGGTTGAAATCATCCACATATCTTAAACCTGTTACCAGTGTGTATGTGCAAAAAAGGAAAAAACAAAAAAGCAGTACTTCACAAATGTATTTGAACCAATTAGAGGTTCTTCTTCAGGTGAAATCGCAAATTTCTGATAGAATACAAACAAATACGAACATGATGATTCAAAAGTTCATTCAAATTCGTGCTTCGTGCAGAACATCGTACTAGGCATGCACTCTCTTGCTGGTAGCATCCATTGAGATTTACAGGTTGCTGTCCATTAGTGCCTGCCACACTACCAACAGGGTCAATTAGTCCTTGTGGTTGATACATGTGTCGATGAGGCTAGATCTATAAATACAAATGGCCTCTAACCCCCTTAAATGTTCTATGCATGGTGAGGTGAGGATGACCCTTCCTCACCTCACCATTCAAATGACGCTTCTATGTCCGTATCACTGGTGTAAATGGCAAGAGTAGTGGTGTTCCTCATGTGATGTATATCGGCAAGGTGCTCTTTCAGTCTAACTCCCAAGGAGTGTTTAGTGGCATCAATGTAGATGAGGTTTCTTTCCCATCTGTGATCCCTAAGTGGGATGCTGTAAACGCCAAGGAGGCTGCTCCAGTTGGGTTAATCCTTTCCGTTACGAAGGATGTCAAATACTGTTGGACACCGGTATGTGATACGAATGCGGCCCTTCTTGGAAATCTCATTATATAGTGATTTAAAGTATGGGTTGAATGTGACCAGAATCCTTTCTTCATCCTCAAATCAGTTTTCTCCACGGGAGTTGACTTGGGCTGCGTGTTGTGAGTGGTGGAATCTGTCGATAAATTTATGGGTGAACCTGGAGTACCCATGGTTAGTGGTTATGCGCTGTATATGCACCAGTTGAATGGTAAGATCTTGTTGAGTGGACGAGTGAGTGAAAGTACTCCTAATTGAGGCGTTGTATGCTGCAGTCTTATACTGTGGTGGGTCACATGACCCCACCGGTATGTACATGGAGTCCGATCCCGATTTACAGTGCACTGCAGTGTGGATGGCTGATTATTAATATTAATGTCGAGGAAGTGAACCTCTGTTAACAACAATCCATATGGCTTGACCCTGGAAATCGAACAAGCAAACCCCACGGAGGTCCACTTCCTCAACATGGCCAGATTGTCGTTAAGAAGTATATTTGGAAGTGATGAAATGTCTGAAAGAAGTAGTGAGATGAAAATGGTCCAATTTTTGGAAAAAGAAGAAACAGATACTTCATCACTACAATGCACCAGCAAATTTGTCATTGTTGGTTCACAAGTTTATTATAAGACAGGAGACAACACTCATCCACTAACCTGCCTACTCTCCAGATTTTGCACTAGTGGACTTTTTTTTTCTCTCCAAAGTCTAAAACCTCACCAAAACATTGTTTTAAGTCTGTTGATAATATGATAGCTTAAAATAGTTAGTATAGTATATGTAGAAAACTAACTAATGTTTTTGATCTTTCTCTTTCTTCAGATCTTCCTCAGGTCTAGTTTTTCTTAGAAAAGTATGAATCTAAAATGAACTTAATTACAGGTTTTAAATGCCAATCTAAAACAAGAAACCTTTCTAGATGACCATAAAGCACAGTATATTTTTCTACTGGATGACAATGGACAAATTTAACAGATCTTAACTTTCCTACAAAGCATAAATCTGGACTCCATGCTATAGATTACCATTGTAAATAGTTAGACTATCCTACTGTACCTTGTCATGCTATGGTACTCTTGATCTACTAAGACCCTTGTATCAAAAACCCACAAACATCATTATTATTATTCTCTGCTCGTGTGTTACTGACTTATTTGTTATTTTTATAATACAGTATAAATCTGTACATTAAATATTATTTTGAAACTTAATTTTAATTTTTCTGCTAGCTTTTATTAATTAAACAATAATCAAATTAAAAGTTTTTAGATAAGATGTAAATTTTATTTTCTAATTTTATTTATATTCCTTTCAGGTAATGAAAATAAAGACAGAACAATTACTTATTGAGTCATTCAGCAAATGCATTGTTTTTTGTAAATAACAGTAAAGCAGAGGAATACCAGAAATTAAATTTTGAATTAGCCAGAATGGCCGATATTAGAAGACTTCAAGAAATTTAAGAATTAGTCATCAATAATATGGTAATTCTACAAATTATAAAGGGAATATAAAGAACTATTATTTGATGAAAATATACAAATCTTCATTCATTTAACATGTAAAAATTATTTAACAATTAAATGAAAACACTTTTTATTTATGAGTTAATATTCTAATGGATAAAATTTATTGATAATATGTTGATTTCATGATGATTTAAAGCTTTTGAAAAATCTCTTTACTTTCATGGCTTGTTATATACATAACATCGAAAAGTATTGGAACTGTGTCAAATTTGGCACTCTGGGATTTTGCAAACTCCACATTTTGAGACTCCTAAACAAAAAAATATATCAAATAATGGAAAAAAGTTTCATGTGCATGTTCATTTAACATAGTGTGTTTTTAATTTAAAAATTGCTGTTTGAATTTTGTATAATCTTTCTATGCTTGAAGATGACATTTTGAAATGTCGAAAGTATTTTTGTGTGTATTTATAATCCATCAAGTAAATAAATTTAAGGATGAAAGACAGTAAAGTTTCTTCAATATACTATATTTGGTATTGTTTATGTGTAAATTTCAGATTTTGCATTTAAAATTTTTTTATAAAATTCATCTCTACGTTCAAAATTAAGCTTTTTGCCATTTTATAATAATAATAATATAAAAGTTATTTTTTAACAAAATCTCACAACAGATGGTACCACAGATAGTTTTAATTTTATGCTAATATATCGTAGAAGATTATTTACTGGGAAAGTTATGCAACTCATTGCTGAATCATTTTTTATACCATTTTCTCTTAGTTTGAGAATAAAACTTCTTTTTAAAATATATTTTTGATAAAATTTGTACATCATATTGGATAATGCACATTTACTGAGTAAGTCCTATAATTCAAAAAATTAATCTCATTCTATGTGTAAGAAAAATTGTAACAATTTAAAAATGCAATACAGTATTTAACTAATTAATTAATTAAGAGAAGCCATTTTAGTTTTGTATACACTTTGAAAATGACATTACTATTATTTGAGTTTCTTAAATACTACTAAAGGAATAAAATTATTAATAATTTCCAAAGAAAAAATCCTTTCTAACAAATAAAGATGGAAGTATTTTAGTGCACAAGAAATAAAAAATATAAGACGACATTCAAATATTACATTAGCATAATTTTAATTGTATTTGATTTTGTTTCTTTCCATGTAAGAATTGTGAGTATTTTGTCAGTCTGTAAATTACATACAATTGTGTTTATTTACCATTCAGTGCATATTACAGTAATGGAATAAAATAGATACTCATTTTTCGTAAGATAGGATGATTTGAAAAGGACTTTACAGCTTTAAATGCATATAGAATTTTAATCAGAAGACTTAGAAGGGGTTGAGGTGTTAATTTATACCATATAAAAGTGAATTATTGTCTGTATGGTGTTAAAAATGAAAACTGAGTTCAAACATATTTACAAGTACTTTCGATGATAAAATGATCATCATCTTCAGGAAAAGCAGAAACAGAATAGAATAAATAGTTTTTAAATTTACAACATATTATGAACATAAATTTAGAACATAGTATTATGTTCTAAATTTTCATTTATAGATATATCTGTTTTTTGAACTTAATTTTCATCTTTTAATATCATAAATATAATATTTTACTTCTATTTTATTTGTTTTGGTGTGTGCCTAGATGTATTACATTTAAATTTATAGCAAAACACAATTGCATTTTGTTGTATGTTTGTTGTAACAAATTATATTTCTTGGCAAGGATAAGGTTTGCTGAGTACTTTATGATATTATGATATTGTTGTATGTTCTTTGGAACTTAGCGTAAAGTTGCTATTGAGAACAAATCATACAGGAACACTCCTTTTGATGGAAAAAGTAGATTTATTTTCTATAATTTATAACAGATATGATAATTTTATCACTTTTAAAAATAGATTACATGTGATGTTGGAAAAGTCATCAATTTCTATTCCAGCACACCTCTCAAGTTTTTTCTTTTGAGGTTTAAAAAGATCTAGTGTTTATTTCCCTTTTGTCTGAAAATATTGCCAATATCAAAATTCAAATCATCATCAGTTACCAAAACAAGAAGAGATATACCACTTTAAGTTTTGAAAGAAATTGAATTTTGGCAGGATGTTTGTTGTATCATTAATAGTACTCCCATTTAACTAAAATGACTATTTGAAATAAAAGTTGATTGATTATGCTATAAATTAACACCTCAACTGATTCTTTAAGTCTTCCAATTAAAATTCTACATGCTTTAAAGTTTTCAAGACCTTTTGAATCAGCCTGTATAATTTAAGTATAATAATAACTAGCTTTGATGACAAAATAAAATAATATAAATTGGAAAAACGAAAATTTATTACTAAATATATTCTGCAATGGTTTTAATTAATTTAAATTTATTTTTGAAATTTTATAAATATTAAATAAATTAAAAAAGTTGTAAAACTCATGTCCATTTTTTTTAAACTGGTTTTTTATAGCTTCAGTCATCCATGCTTTCTCCTCCTTATCTCTTCCAATCCCCTTTCCAACCCCCTTATCTCTTCCAATCCCCTTCCAATAGTCCTAATTTCTCTTCATATATGCAAACCATCTTAACCTACTTTCCTGCATCTTCTTAATTATAGGATCAACTTTCATTGTTCCTCTTATGTAATAATCTTAATTTTGTCCTTCATCACACCATACATTCATCTCGACATTCTCATCTCCTCTGTTTCCGACACCTTTTCCAGGGCTCTTCTGGAAATTGTACTCTCAAATTAAAAAGTTAGAAGTTAAAAATGTTGAAATTTTACAATTTTAACATTTTAAGAACTATTTACTTTCATCTTTGCTGCTTCACCATTAATCTATTTTCAGTATATTTAATGTTAAATTTGTGTCTAGATTATTTAACATAAGGATTTATTTATAAGGATATTTCCAAAAATATCCATTAAGAGATATAAGAGGAAAGACCTTTTCTCTTTATCTAAATTTCAGTTAACAATTTGACATGTTTAACATTAGAATCATTCTTGTCAATTTGATCCTTCTGGAGAGTTAAATATTGTATTTTCTTCATTTTTGAAATCTTTGTATCATTTCATTGCAGCCAATTCTTTAAACAGATCATCGTCATATTTAAGAGATTTGCTGAAACAACCAAATTTCATTCCTCCCAACATTTTTCCTCAAGCAGTAGGAAGGAAGGGTAAATACATAATTTTTTCTATTTTCTTAGGAGGTTTATTTTTTTCACATTTTAGTATCTTTGTTATAAGAATTATTGGAAAAATCCTTATAAAGATACCAAGATGTCAAAAAAAATTAAATCTTTTAAGAAAATAGAAAAAAACATTAATTTTAGTTAACAGAAATACTTTAAAAATGCAAATGAATTTAGATTAGTTTAATGCAAAATACACTATTTCAAATAAGGAATTAAGTAGATTGATTTAAAGTTGAAAATGCATTTTACAGTCAAGGCATCAAGCTGTGGAGGTTGTGAAATTTACAAGTTTCTCAGATTTGTTAAACATTATTATTATAATTTGTAAAAATAAACTTACTTATTGTTTTGTGTTGAGATAACCATCAAGTAGAATGAATGAATGCACAGTAGAATAAACAGTTGGTGCTTTTGATACAAATATTGGGTTGTTCAGAAAGTAATTTCGTTCTTTTTTACCACTAGACAGATTAGTCGTATTTTTCCTGCCATTTTCATTCTAAACCATATTATCATTATATATTTTGACAGCTGGCATTATAAGGCTTATTTGTAAAAAATTTTGTTTGGTTTTGTGCAATTGTTTATTTTTTGTGTCCCATCAAATATGGAAGATCGAAAGCAACATTTTTGGCATATTTTGCTCATTTATTGGAAGCTGGACCAAATTGGATCTTTCAACAAGACAATGCCCCTGTTCATGCCTCTAAATCAACAAAAATGTGGTTTAAACGTGAAAATATTAATCTGATGACATGGCCTGCTAGAAGCCTTGACCTGAATCCGATGAAAAATCTTTGGGGAATGATGGTTCGTACAGTTTATGCCAATGGAAAGCAGTTTTCCACAATTCATGATTTGAAGGAAGCAATTTCAGATGCTTGGGATAAACTTAAGATCGAATTCCTTCAGAATCTAATTGAAACAATGCCTAATTGAATATTTAATGTAATTAAGTTAAATGGTGATTACATTGGCCATTAAATTGTAAGAAAACTTTGCAATTTGAAACCTGCCCGGATAAATATGTAACAGTTTTTTTGTACAAAATTTTCAAAAATATTATTTTCAGTGACAAAATGTTAATGTTTGATTAAAATTCTTATTTTGCAGTGTGGAAACATGTAAATCCATGTTATTTTTAATAAAACATTTGTCANTTGGCTTTAATTTGAGTATGTTTTTCGCGTTGGAACGAATTATTTGGTTTTACATGTAATCGTATGGGAAAAGATGATCCACCTTACGACATTTTCATGATACGATCTCAGTTTCGGAACGGATTAATTTCGTATCCTGAGGTACCACTGTATATATATATAAAGTTTTATGTATCTTCACATTTTTTAAGCATTTTTTTAATATATTCAAAAATTTGACTTGATCTTCTTCGTACCAAATAAGTGATCATAAAATTTTCTTTCATTTTCAATATTTCAATAATTCTTGAATGTCCCATCATAATAGCTGAAATAATTGAAACCAAAAAGAATTTTGGGAAATGCAGTCTTCTTCTTAACTTTTTCCCTTGTTCATATAAGGTAAACATTTCCATCTTTAATCTGTCTTCTCCATTTCTCTCTATCCAGGACGTTTTCTCTCCCAAATTCTCTGCCACCTTGTCTCTCCATTTTAGTTTCAGTTAATGTTTTGAAAAACTGGGTTTTTGAAGAAATTTATACAGGGCGGGGCAGAAAGGACAGACATTTTTGAAATGGCTAGAATTCAACACCAGGTAGAGTGACAGATTTGTAGCAGGTAGCATGAAAGTAGTGAGGTCTTAGCATTG